TCAACCAGGTGCTCATAACCTAGAATGGAAATGAAAAACTTCAATAAATGTGCTGAGTGTAACAGAAGTGCTGAAGGAGTGACTATTTTGTCACAGAGGAAATGCCTGGGGGACAGATTCACAGAAAGGAGGTTTAAACTAGACCTTAGGTGAGTTTACGTTTTCCAGGGAGCCAAGAAGAAGAAAGGCATTCCAGCAAGAGAATGGTCTCCAAAGGAAGACCAGGGTGAGGGAGTAGGGCACATCTGGGAACACAGCTGCGCTGCTTGGAGCAGCTACAACCAGAGTGTAGCTCAGTGGTAGGAGGGCTGAGGGAAGAGATGGTGAAGGGCATTACACACCATGGCTAAGAATTTGGAATATATCCCAGAGAAAGGATCACATACTTTCTATACTAATTAGATTTAAGGTGAATTCAGAAAGGAGTGGTTAATGGGAGCAGAAATAATCAGAGAGACATCTTAAGGGCAGAATCAGCATTTGAGGTGAGTGAGAACCCATACAGGGACACATCAGGCCGGGCCGGGTTTAATGCGGAGGCAGCACAAAGGAAAACAGGGGAAATGAGACTGAGCCAGGAAATCCAACAGTGAGCGACCACTTCTGCAAGGGGTATTTTTCCTTTTCCTTTAGAAAGAGTAAGTCTAAGAGCAACATGAACAATGGTAAAAAGCAGAAGCAAAACAGAGAACAGAAAGGTCTGTCAGCTTAAGCGGGAAACATTATAAGAAGTAGCACAAGCAAGAACAGCACAGCACACTGGGAGGAGCTCAGATACACAGGTGGTAATTCCAGCTGCTAGCACATGAGGCATAGATTTGGGCAACTGAGAGGATTATTTGATGGACATTTCTTGAATACCTAATGTGTGTCAGGCAGTACTTTAGGGGGAGGTATAAAGGTTAAATGTAAGAGACTATCACATCCTCAAGAAGTTCAACCACTGAAACAGAAGAGAAATGCATAAAGGCAATTTTAATACTTGCATGTACAGTATTAAGTCATATAATCAAAGTAAGTATAGGGTAGTACTGCGGGAGCAGAGAGGCAGGGCGTTTAGACTGAATGCTTGTAGAAACAAGTTTACCTCTCTCAGGCTCAGGTTTCTCATCTATAAGACATGCAGAGAGGAATAATACCAGACCTCTGCGGATTCTTTGATGCTACGAACAAGGGCATTAACAAAATAGTCAAGTCTCCAAATCTAAGGCTAACACTGAAGCATCTTCTATAGGCAAGAACCACATAACCAAGATGCTACTAAATGCTGAGCAAGGACGAGGGCCTACAGCCTGGCTTACCTCTGGGGTGGCCTGAGAAGCTTTACAGACAGTTTCCATTCCTCCCAGCTTCCAGTGCCCATCTTCACTCACGAACACAGATGATAAGCAGACATTGTTGTGTGTTAGGTGTCCCTGGGAATAAAAAAAGAAAAACAAAAAACCAAGAAGATGGCCACTCTAGTTTCTGAAGAAGTAATCTTAAAAAACTAAATTCTAATCACCAAAAACATTATAAGCCTTTCCTCTTGGCTAGGCGCCTATAGCTCACCCGGCTAAGGCGCCAGCCACGTACACCTAAGGTGGCGGGTTCGAATCCCCAGCCCGGACCCGCCAAACAACAATGACGGCTGCAACCAAAAAATAGCCGGGCGTTGTGGCGGGCGCCTGTGGTCCCAGCTACTTGGGAGGCAGAGGCAGGAGACTCGCTTGAGCCCAGGAGTTGGAGGTTGCTGTGAGCTGTGAGGCCACGGCACTCTACCCAGGGGGACAGCTTGAGGCTCTGTCTCAAAAAAAAAAAAAAAAAAGCCTTTCCTCTTAAGAAATAATTAATGGAACAATGACTTCAAAGAACAACAAATGAAGTGAGGTTTGACAGAAAAAAAAAAAAAAAATGGAATGGAAAGTCTTCTGTTATCCCCCCTGCCTGGTAAGGCAGGTTAATGAAGTCACTGAAGTCTCCACACAGACACAGCCCTCTCTCCATCTCTCATAGGCGTCAGGAGATACACAGGTCCTTAAAACTAAGTTTACACGTCTTTATAGCCTACATTACCTCTCAATACCTTTAAAGAAAAAATTTATATTTGCTTCCACAGGTAATTTTATTTTCTCCTTAAAATTCTTTCCTACCTACATTCTATCACGAATCCAGAGCCACAAAACCTGAAATCTTGTCAGTAGACATTAAAAAAATTCTGCCTGAAGAAGAGGAAAATGGAATGATAAGTACCACCAGGAATATCTCACAAACTACAGAAGAGCCAAACACAAAAACAAGAACAAAAGACAGCACAGTTGAATAAGAGGATGGGAGAAAATGACAATAGGGGTCAAGTATTTATTTGAAATAATAAACCAGAAATCATTCCAATAGCCAAAAGAGCACTTTAAATAATCTATGCACTAGATCTAATATCTACATATTTTTTATAGAGACTATGCAAAAAAAAATACATATATTTTTTAAAGAAAGGTTTAGAATAAGATGTATGGTATGTTTCTGTTTGAGAAAAAATAAAAGAGAAAAGACACAGATATTTGCTTTATATGCACAAAGACCATCTCTGCAATAATGCAGTGATCACCACGGTTGTCTTTGAAGAAAATAGGGCACTGGATTTAAGCATGCGAGAGGGACTAACTCGTCTCACTGAGGACTCACACACCATACTAACTTTTACCACGTGTATGCACTTTCTCCAACAAAGATATTTTCTTGTACTGAAGCACTAATAACTCCTGTTACTATGTGAATTCATAAACATACATTTTAGAGACTATAAATCCAACATGGTTTTTATACAGTATGTCTCCCATCAATACAAAAGACTTAAAAACACACAGAAAGGTCAATTACTTTAGAAATAGTAGCTCAACAGTACTGTCAAGTAATAGACCAGAAGTAGACGCAGGAACTAATACATTATAGTAACAACAAACATCACAGCCAAGTACACCCTGAATAGCTGGCTATTCTAGAGTGTTAAGGGGCTCTCAAATGGCCACAACCACCAGATAGAAAAGGATGTGTCTTAACTCTGCCTCTGCCTAAAAAAAGGGTCCTTTCTTTCTTCAAAATCTAAAATGGGACAAAGCTCCCAAAAACATACAGAATATTGGCCTATAGCAGGAAATGTTGAATCTTTTATCTTTGTCTTAATAACTAATACCAGCTACAGTCATTTTTAGGTAAAGACGTATCCAAAACAAGAGGCACACTACAGTGAATTAAAATAAAGTTCTATAAATAATCATCCATTCCAAAACCGTCTGTCTGCAGCACCTTTGGTGCCTTCCAATGTGTTCTTTTTTCCTCAGGAAGTTTTCTAATAATAGAAACTTATAAATTCTATACACCCAATGTTTTACAACTACCTTATACATCATTCCCCCAGTCAACATCAAAACCTGTAAGGCAGACTATGCAGTTACTTACTCTGTCATGAAGGAAGATAAGAGCCAGCAGTATGTCATAGATCCCAGCACAGACCTCCGCAGAAGATAATGTTTCCAAAGCCACTTCCAGAGGCTGTACTCGTTCAGTGACAAGATGAATGCCATCTGCTTCCACAGTACATGATAAAAATCTTAGCAAGCAAGGGTGACGAAGTGTCTTCAAATGCTTTAAAGATACAAACAGAAGAGATGATGAGGCTAAAAACTCAAAACCTAATTATAGTTTAATATACCTTGTATTAAAAGTCACAAAATGGATGTTAGCAGATGGAAGAACATATCATGCTCATAGCTTAGAAGAATCAACATTGTTAAAATGTCCATACTACCCAAATGAACCTTCAGATTTAATGCAATGACCATTAAAATCCCATCAACTTTGAAGATAAAAAGGAATCACTTTATCAGATTTCAAGTTATACTACAAGTCTACAGTGCTCAAAAGAGCACGATACTGGCATAAAAAGAGAGATTCCTTAAGGACTAAAAGTACACCTACCATTTGATCCTGCAATCCCGTTACTAGGTATCTACCCAAAAAAGTACATGTGTACTTGAATGTTTGTTACAGCAGCACAATTTACAATTGCAAAGATATGGTAACAACACAAGTGCCCTTCAACACATGAATGGATTAATAGACTGTGGTATATTATACCATGGAATGCCATTCAGCCATAAAAAAGATGGAGATTTCCTATCTTTTATAACAACCTAGACAAATTTGGAGAAAATTCTCCTAAGCCAAGTATCAAAAGAATGGAAAAAGAAGTATCACACATACTCAGTACTAAATTGAAACTAGTAGATTAACAATGACATGCTCACATGAGAGAATAATTCAATTAATTTTAAGCTGAGGGGAGAGAGAGAAAGAGTTGGGTAAATTCCCACCCAGTGGGTATAATGCATGAGTATACTACACACTTCCTAGATGAAGGACACAACTGTAACTCAGACTTTAATCTTACAGAAGCAAACTATGCAACCTAATTGTATGTTCCCTGATATGAATCTGAAATTTATATAAAAAAGCAAAATTATCTCAGTTATCTGTACATGCCTGATATATATATATATATATATTTGTGAATTAAGATAAATTTAATGCCCTCATCATATAGTTTCACTAAATACTGAAGATATTTCAGGAGTGCTTCACTTTTTCAGTTAATTAATACATATTTAAGGAATACAAACAAATTAGAATAAAAATTTAAAAATAAAAGCATTTAAAAGTCAAACAGGGAAAAAAAAAAGTTAGAAAATGCATACTTGCGTTTAAGATCTGTTAAAGTTCCCTACCTCCCTCTGTATCCTCCAAATTTCAAGTAAGGCATAGGAGGATCTTTGACTTGTTCTGACTTTTTTCAGTTTACCAACATTTAAACAACTCTACAAAGACTTCAGTTCCATTTCAGAAGCGTAATCTCCCTCAGCGTCCAGAACTCTCAACAACTGTGAACAAAATGCCAGAAACAACTATCTGAGAACACTGAAAAGTAAACAAAAGCACACAGATTAGGAGGGGCATCAAAACCTGGAGCAGCAATACCCACGGGGGTGCGTTTCCCTTTTCACAGTTATGCACTGAAGGCAGCCTCCTATTGCAGAGCATTGTAACAAAGGTCCTGACACTAAACCAATAAAAACCTCACCATCTTTTTGGCCAGAATAATCACAAAGAACCTAGGCAGCTAAAGTATAAGGGGGATATCTCCACGGCAGAGGGCTGGAGAAGGACATGGAAAGACTAACCCCTGAAACAAGCATGCACAGGATAGATCCAAACCAGCACAGCAAAATAAAAAGAAACAAAACTGAGTTTGGACCAATCCTTCACAGGAAGAGTAGGAGCTCAAAAACTTGAGGCCTGAATCTAAGGGGATTAATTGCCTGCTAGATTAAAAATATTAATATTCTCCAAAGGATTCTAATGGAGCCAAAAGTCTGCAACAGGACATTAAAAATGCAAGATGCAATCCAAAATCATGCTA